CGGCGCGTCAGTCCCTGCGCCACCTTCGCCGGCCTGGGCCGCGGCTCTTCTTGGAGAGACGGCCCCGAAGGGCTGTGAACTTGGGTTGTCAGCCACGTTCCTCCTGTTGGGCGCCGCCTGGCCCCTCAGGCCTTCGATGAGCATGGCGCGCTCTTGTGTCTGGGCCCTTGGAAGTGACCGTTAGGGCGCTAGTGGCAGTCGACCTGCTGAGTTGATTACTCTCGAGGGCCCTGGAGCAGACTCCCACTTCTGGAGCTGCAAAGCATTCTCGCTGATGACCTGTTCACAGCTTTCCGAAGGCCACTTGTGTCGTCAGGCCTGGCCTCTGGTCCAGTGCCCTTGGAAAAACAAAAAGCATCGTTCGTAAACAATAGTGTCGTTTTGATTGCTTTTGTCTGTGTGTCCAGGAGTTGAGTGTCTGAAAAGTGAACTTGGGAGGGGAAAGTGGTGTTGACCCAAACAAAGAGATAAACAAAGAAGCAGGTTCAAACAGTGGAGATTATTTGGGAAAAGCGGAGGAATTGCAGTTCGGGACATGGAGATTGTTGCAAGCTACCGGCAAGTCCGAAGAGACAAAGGGAGTCAGCTTTCGGGGCGTTTTAGGAAGAAATTGGGAAGAACAGGAGTTCGAGGTTGTGGTTTCTCGTTGGCCGCAAGGGGTAGGTAATGCCGTTGCTGGAGCAAGGAGCGATCATCTTGTTTTCAAAAGCAGGACATCAAATTCAAATACGAAAAATACCCTCCCTTGTTAAAATAAATCTTCCCTTTTCCTGCTGGTTATGCAGGCTGCAGTGACTGGTACGTGCATGAGAACTCCCCTTCCTGGCTCCGTTTTGAATAATGTAACCTTTATTAATTTTTACAGTGGAAATGACATGATCATCAGCTGAACTGTTTTCATGTTTACTAATTAGGTTATTATTGTTGCAGTGATCTAAGTCCCAATTCCCCTCACTAGTTCCTCATGTGTTTTGTTTCACGAAAGGTATAAGTTTGCCAAAACTAAGGCAATTTTGAGAGAGCCATAGGTCTGAATATAGAATCTTCGGCAACTGACTTCTTTAAACCTCTGTTTTTTTAATATGTGATTAAAAACTGACTAACAGGTCCTAACTCACAGGGATGTTAGTGATTGAATTAGATTCAAAATATATATATAAATTGCCTGGCAAACTGCGTTAGGTGGTGCTTACCAGGCCCCCAATAAATGTCAGCCTCTTTCTTCCCCTTGAAAATTCAAGCCTTCGGGTTTAGAATTCCTATATCAATATTTTTCTCTAGATTTCTGTTATATTCACATATCTTATATTTGTGACTTAGTGTCCAAAATTTTTATAATAGAAATAAATCTCTGGCAAATATTAAAAAAATCCATCATTCATACTTTTTGTCAGCTGCTCCCTCAGAAGCATCCTTAGAATAAACATGCTGCTGTTTAGTGACTAAAGATGAGTCAAACAAACTCCCGATCACGATTTGAGTCTTAACGAGAATGAATAGATGAGAGCAGTTGAGTTTCATTTTCTGCCTCATAAAAGGCGATAAACACTGGTTCTGTAATTACATATTTTTTCTTTATATCTGGTAAATGTGATTTTGACCTCAACTATATACCACACCGACTTATATAAAAAACTAATTGGGCTTATGCAATTTAGCAGTTAAAATATATCGGGGTGGGGGACCCATGCCAGTGGTTATATATGCTAAACCGTGATTATACGCTAAAGGAACGGGGAAATAGAAATTGTGTTGTTCTGAACATAAAAATGAGAGCACATTAAAGGGAGAGAGGGGTTGTGATTCTAAAAGGTTGAAAGAATGCTGCTGCTTATAGGAAAATCAAAAGATAAAATGAATGTCTTCTGTATAGATACTTTATGAATGGCTGATTACTACATTTTTAATTTTGAAAATATGTTAAAAATGTAATTAAGATAATATCAAAGTATGCATTTGTTTTGGTAGACGTGAAGTTTCATGAAAATGAGGGTGTCATAGGTTGAATTGTGTCTTCCAAAAAGGTATGTACAAGCACAAGCTTAGCTACTGAAACTCCAGGGTGTGGCCTTGTTTCCATATAAGGAAATGTAATTAGTTAAGATAGGGTCTTTTTATAAAAGGGAAGGCTGGGAGTGTCTCTCTTCCCCTTTTGAGAGTGTTTCTCTAGCAATGTTTTACTCTGAGTCTTTGGAATGTAAACGAATCTTTCTATAAAAAAGATAAGCCCATTTGTCTTCAGGTCCAGGGCCTCAGCCTCCTTTGAAATGTTGACACCTCCAGGGTTTAGTAGACCTCTCTAGAGTTCTCACAACTTAAATAGTTATAACTTAATTCCTACTTGCAGTCAGTCCAGAACCCCAAATTTCAGTAAGATTTGCCCTGAAAGCTCTAAATGTGCAGGAACATAAAAACATTTGCTCTACGTCCCACAGAGGGGTGTTGCATTATGATAATGAGTCAGTCGTCAAGAAGATGTAACAGCTATACATTTGTCTATAACGAATAACAGAACTACAAAATACACAAAAGCAAAAAAAAAAAAAAACAGACCAAAAGGAAGAAATAGACAATAGACAATTCGACAATCATGATCAGGGATTTTAATGCACTTCAGCATTGATACAGCAACTAGGTTTTTCAAAAATCTTCAAGGCAGAAAAATCCGAACAGCTACATGTAAGAACATTGCTGACTTTCCTCTGAGAAAACCAGCGCTGAATAAGAATACCTCTTTCCTTAGCTCTTAACACTGTGATACATAATATTTTTAATTGTTTTTATTATTTATTCATCCAATAGGCAAAACCATGGTACTTGTACTTACTTGCATTTCATCAGTCGCTAAGTGATGGACCATTTTCGCATATACTTATCATTTGGTTTTTTTCTTTGTTTGAAGTACATGGATAATTTCAGGTGTGTTTCTGTATTGTCGTGGCCTTTTTGTAATGTTTTATCTTGCCACTATTTCCCCCTCGTCGTTATCTTTTAAACCATCTTTCTTATGTTCTTTAACTTATCAAAGTTCGAATGTTTGTGTAGTCAAATCCACCAGTTTTGTTTTTCCTTTGGTTTCTCTAACTTCTTTTTTTGTGATCGTAGTTAAGACTTACAGTCTGTACAGGGCATTATCCCGTTTAAACTCTTACCTTGTAAAACCGAGGTACTCTCTGCAACCAACGAAGCATTGAAATGGGCCAGGTGATATAATTTCTGTCTGTGACGTTCTTACAACCTAGACTGCCAGTTAAAGCATTCAGTACAGCATTATCCTATCTCTGTGCAATTTCAACGCATGCCATGCTTTGGTTCTCAGATCGTTCCTAATTTCACGAGGCGGATCCAGACCAAAATCAAAGACCTTCTGCAGCAGATGGAGGAGGGGCTGAAGACAGCCGACCCGCACGACCGCTCTGCTTACACGGGGTGGACGGGTGAGACGCGAGTCCGCGGCCGGTGTCTTTCATTCTCGGGTTATGATATGTGAGAGTTGGATTTGAATTTTTTTTTTCTTTAAAAATGATAACGTTTTATACCCTTTAAATGAAGTTTTGAACTGTCTTCATCGATGAGATACTTTGGAATTTTTTCGTGAAATAAAATTTTCCTGTTTATAGTTGATCCAGAAAAATTCATGTGATTCAAATTTAGGGAAGAAATTGAACAGTTGTATGTATTATTTTGGGGGGGCGGGGAGGAAAATCAAATGTTACCAATAGAAAAAGAAAACACAACAGGAAAATGCCATCAGTGCGGAGAGGAATTACAGGGCTTTCAGCGTTAATGTGGAAACAGGTAAGCAGTAAGTCACAGAACAGAAATACAGGAACCCGGAGAAGAGGAGGCCAGACAGGAAGATGATAGGAAGTGAGAATTGACAGAAGAAAAGAAAATGAAGGAAAGGACAAAAGAGAGAAAAATCACTTCAGAAATTAAGACCAAATTACAAAGAGTTAAATAACTGACTCCACGGAAAACACAGCAGTACCATCAAAAGGGCAACAAAAACAAAAATGAGAGACTTCCAGTTTCGGGTCTGTCATGTAAGGAGTTTAAAAGTCACCACCCTGTCTTAACAAGTAAAAAGCTGAAGAAACTGAAGAATCAACAGCTCAGGTTCGTCAGAGAAGCGAAGTGACAGGGCAAGCGTCTGCTGAAAAACGGGAGCGGTGGGGAGTCAGAAACTCAGTTTACTGGGGCGGAGACCCCCAAGGAGACACCTCCACGGGAACGGTGGGGTAAGAAACCTGGACTCTGACTGACAGATCGCTGCAGGCCCAGCGCAGACAAGCACGGGGGTTGCACTCCAGGGGGACCCAGTCACAGGGGAGCTTCCACACTTGGGTGAGATTGACTCAAGGAGTTTTCTCAGGGCCTCGCTGTGAAAATTGGAGAAAAAAATCCCCTCAGCTTCCAGCAGGGAGAGGGGAAAGGAACGATTGTGAAATACGCCAGTTCCGCACGCTGCAAGGCAAGGACGCTAACTAGTAACATGAAAACAGAGTTACATGTGGAGTCGGATTCAGGTACCATAATATAATATGGCCGTGTAAATCACTCCACTACAAAGATTAGAGGACAGGGGTATTAAAAATAACTATAGCTACAGCAATGTTTAATGGGTGTTCAATATGAAATATGTAAATTGTGACATCAGAAACAAAATGTTGGAGGGGGGCGTAGAGTTCTTATATGAGATCAAAGTTCTCAGCGTAAAATAGTGTGTTATAAGATGTTTTTATGTAAATCTCATAGTAACCACAAAGCAAAAAACCTATAATAGATAAACAAGTAATCTTTAAAAAGGAATCAAAGCATACCAATAAGAAAAATCATCAAATCACAAGGAAGACAGTAAGAGAGAAAGGGGCTACAAAACAGCCAGAAAGTTAATAAGATGGTGTTGGTAAGTCCTTGCATATCAGTAAGCACTTTAAATGGACTAAATTCTCAAATCAAGACAGAGTATTGAATGGATGAAAAAAAGAGCAAGACCTGACTATATGCTGCTTATAAGAGACTCATGTCAGCTTTATGGACATAGGCTGAAAGAAAGATGGAAGAGATACTCCATGCTAATGGAAACCAAAATAGAGCAGGGGGTAAGTACATTTATGTCAGAACAGATAGACTAACTTCAAACACTTTAGTAGAGACAAAGGGGGTCATTATATAATGATGTCCGTTCATCAAGAGGATATAAGAATTGTACAGATATATGCACCCAACATCAGAATACCTAAATCTATGAAACAAATACTAACATCTGAAAGGAAAAATGAACAACAATATAATAATAGGGGGCTTCATTCCCCCTCTTCCAGCAATGAATAGATCATCCAGATTATCAATAGGAAAGCATTGAAAATGAGCTATACATTAGACCAGTGGACCTAACAGACATAACATAGAATATTCCATCCAACAGCAGCAGAATACAAATCCTTCTCAAGTGCACGTAGAACATTCTCGACACATCATATGTTAGGACTAAGTCTCAATAAATTCAAGAAGATAGAAATTATATCAAGTATCTTTTCTGACCCCTATAGTATGAAACTAGAAACCATTAATAGTAGGAAAACTGGAAAATTCACAAATATGTAGAGACTAAACTAAACGCTTCTTAATAACCAACGGATCAAAGAAAAAAAAGGAAATCAAAAAATATCTTGAAACAAATGAAAATGCAAACACAGTAAACCAAAACCTAGGGGAGGCAGCCAAAGCAGTTATAAGAGGGACGAACGCCACAGTAACTACTACATCAAGAGAAGGAAAGATCTCAAACGACCTAATTTTATACCTCGAGGAATTAGAAAAACAACAAACCAGATGCAAAGATAGCGGAAGGAGGGAGAAAACAAAGATGAGAGCAGAAGCAAATGAACTAGAAACCAGAACAGGAAAGGGAAAGATCAGCGAAACCAAGAGGTGGTTTTTTGAAACGGTGAACAGAATCGACAAACCTATGTCAAGACTAGTTGAGAAAATGAGAGAAGATTCCGATAAAAAATGAAAGGGGACATTCCAGCCGATGCCACAGAAATACAAAGGGTCATAAGACACTACTGTGAACAATCATAAGCCAACAAATTGGGTAACCTAGGAGAAGTGGATAAATTCCTAGAAACATCCAACCTACCAAGACTGAATTATGAAGAAACAGAAGATATGAGCAGACCAGTAATGAGTAAGAATCAGGAATCAAAATCCAATGAAGAAAAGCCCAGGACCCAATGGCTTTTCTGGTGAATTCTATCAAAAACATATATATTGGTCTTGAGAATTAATTTGAAAGGGAAGTAGGATGCCCTGGATAGGAGAATTAAAGAAGCAGCTACCTATTTAGAGAAATTTAAAAAGTAAAACGAAAAGTAACAGTGAGAGTAGGATATTAGACAAAGAACAGAGTATTAGAGAACCTCAGTTCAAACGTCAGGTGCTTTGTTTTCACCATCAAATCATTTCAGTGCTTTTTCCTTCAATATACTTTACTAAGTATATGTTTATACAGGTTTATTTTTTACTTAGCTTTCATATTGACTTCTCAAACCCAGGACTAATAGCATGCCTCTTTTAGAAGCCACAGAGGCCATCCTTTCTAGATTTTCAGAGAAAGACCCCTTTGTAGTTCACTTGACTACCTGGACCTGTTCTTTAATCTAAAACAGGAAAGTAGGGTCGGTGATAAACTCCATCTTCTGCATTTGCTGCCTATTCTGCATCATGTGGCTGTTCCATCAATGGCGAGTTGAATCACTGTTTGGTCATTTGGATGGGTTGGTCACCAGAGAAAATGGAAAATTGTGAGAAATAGGAAAATTGGAAAAAAGTTGTAAACTTCAGAAGAGTGATCATTTAATTGGGGATAAGCTAGGAGGATGTGGTTATATGAGAAGTAAAAAGAAAAGGATCCGATACAAGGATTAAGATGGAAAACAGGATGGGTAAAGCCTCGAGGCGAGTCCGGGCGCAGCGGGAGGGCTGGGGAGTCGCGCACCTGCCGCGTCCGGGAGGGAGCGAGTGGCTGCGTCAGAACAGTCAGGGCGACACCACAGTGTATTTAAATGTAAGGACTTTTTTTACCCTGAATTATTTTTTTCCATTTTTTAGAACATACCACACGTAACACTTGGATGTCGCCCTTCAGAAACAGGTTTTGTGTAGGCTCTCGCGTAATCGTTAAGCGTCCTGAAGGTGGAGGGAAAGTAACGATGCTCTTCCCTGGGGGGTCGTTCCAGGCATAGCTCTTCTGTACCTGCAGCTGTACCGGGTCACATGCGACCAGGCCCACCTGCTGCGGTCCCTGGACTACGTGAAGAGGACGCTCCGGAATCTGAGTGGCCGCAAGGTGGCCTTCCTCTGCGGAGATGCCGGGCCGCTTGCCGTGGGCGCTGTGGTGTACCACAGGCTGAAGAGCGACTGCGAGGCCCAGGAGTGCGTCACGAAGTGAGTCTTAAAACGGGCCGCCTTTTCTCCAGCTTCCCCGTCAGTGGAAGGTCTTGCCGAAGGAAGACAGTCGAAAAGGGAAACCAGGTTTCAGTTGATGTACTGTTACTAGCGGGTCTCTCCAAGGGACGACTACGTTTGCACAGTGACCTTGGGCGTCCGCTGGGGTCACAGGCTCCCTTTCTGCCCAGGCTCGTGTTGGCCTTTGTTTCGGGGGGAATGAACATGGTTCTCTGCTACCGTGATCACGTTCAGTCGCCCCCGATGTGTGAAAGCTGGCTGACACACCTCGGACCCACTGTGGCAGTACGATGAGTCACTTCGGGTTCCATTAGCACACAGTCAGCGTAAACGTCCTCTGTGCCCATTGTTAGCACACGGTCAGCGTAAACGTCCTCTGTGCCCATTGTTAGCACATGGTCAGCGTAAACGTCCTCTGTGCCCATAATTAGCACACGGTCAGCGTAAACGTGCTCCGTGCCCATCGGGGCACAGTCTCTTCTGCAGAGGCCGACACCAGGGTCGCCTGCTGGTCTGGTGACTCGAGGTGACTCCCAAGCATGGGCTGCACCTCGGTGCCGTTTTCACTTAGATTTTAGATCACTGGCTTCTAATTGTGGGTTTCAAAATTAAGCATCTTCTCTCATGTGGTTCAGAATAGATATAAAATAAAAAGTTTGAACACGAGATTTGTTATTCATTTTGATATATGAGAGAGAAATAGTGAAGTGGAGACATTTTCTCTGGGGTTTGGGGTTTTTCTTGTTTGTGTTTTGGTGGGGTTTTTTTTGTATTTTTGAAATCAGTTTTAAATTATAAATAACAGGTCATTCCTAAAGTAATGGGGTTACTCACAGTTTCAGGAAAGAATGTTAGACATTGAGAAAACGGAGTTGTTCTTGTCGGGCAGGCTTCTGCAGCTGCAGAGAACGGTCGTCTGCGGAGATTCCGACCTCCCCGACGAGCTGCTGTACGGCCGGGCGGGCTACCTGTACGCCCTGCTCTACCTGAACACGGAGATCGGCCCGGGCACCGTGTGCCAGTCGGCCGTTAATGAGGTACCACGGGTCACGGGGTGTGGGCACCGTCACCTTAGCCCTCTTACAGTGCTGGCTGGACCCCGCTCCCAGGTCAGGGTGATCGCTTAAGGCATCTCATAAAATTAATAAGCGGTCCCTTTGTTTCCTTTGTAGGAATGTGTTCTTAGAAATGTGTACTCCTCAGGCCTGTATCAATGCAGCCGTCTTCACTAGAATCAGCGGCAGCTTCAAAAAGAGAATGTTTCCTTCTCTTTCACGAGATGCCTGAACTAGAGGCAGAGCTGGGGCCAAGGCTAGGGACCCTGGTCCTTCCTTCCGGGTCCCCTGTGTCCTGGGGGCCACGCCCTTACCTGCATGACCAGAGCCAGCCGCACACCCTGCCCCTCCCCCAGTCAGGGCGCAGGTGAGGAAGTGGAGATGAGCAGCTTCCTTTCGAAGGCAGCGAAGCAGAAGTTGCTGACCTCACTTCTGCTCACATCCCACTGCCACCACCAAGTCACGTGACTGTCCAGCTGTCTGGAGCTCGGAGGCCAGGCACCTAGCTAGAACTTGGAGCACGGTTGACAACAGTGTGAAGGGAGAGGCTGTGAGGAGACAGTTTGTGTCTGCCACACAGTCGTCACAGAGGCGGTTCTGCCACTGGTCTGACAGGCCCTGCGTGCCACAGCGGGCCTCATTCCATCAGCCTCCCCGGCCCAGCCCGTCCTGCAGCGGCCTGCACGGCTGCCAGGCTTTGGGGGAACGTATTGCAGCTACGGAGCACATGCATCATCTAGCATATTTTCACAGGAAGCTTTTCTAGATTCTAGAAAACCGTTTATGCAAAGAACTTTTGATTTCATGGTTTGGCTTAATGTCTTTTTCTACTCTGAGATTGTCTCCCGCTTTCTCTCTTCCTGTATTTACTAATTTGTAAAATAAAGATAACAATGTTGGCTGCTAACTGTTTAAGATTTTTAGATTAAGCTGTCCGTCTGTCTACCTAAGGACTTGCTGTTAGTGTTGATTAGACTGAGACAGGATACGTTTAGGTTATTAGACTTACGCTGCCCCGTGTCTGTAGGTCGTCGCTGCCATCATCGAATCGGGCAAGGCTTTGTCGAGGGAAGAAAGGAAGAGCGAGCGCTGTCCCCTCTTGTACCAGTGGCACCGGAAGCAGTATGTTGGAGCGGCCCATGGCATGGCCGGGATCTACTACATGCTGATGCAGGTGAGGACACCCCGAAATACTGAGGTGGCGATCGTACCGTAAAATACAAATCAAATAGGAAAATGGAACTATTTTAGCACAAACCAAGCAGGCTGAAACAAAGCGAGGCTCCACTCCGAATCGTGGGTGCTCCGGCTCTACCGCATGAGCCCTGAGCAGTGGGCTCCGGGGGCGCCTTCGGTGTGCAGGCTTGCACCGGCCGAGGTGCCTGCCGCGGCCCTTTGCCTCTGTCCACGTCCTTCTGCTGACGGAAGTGGTCACTCATGTAATAAGGGAGAACCTTCGCGCCCATAGTGTCTGCTCATGCACTGAATTAAAAACAGAAACCTGACCATTTTGTTCCTGAGTAGATTTTCTCATTCTCTGCTGGGACAGCATAGTGTGAAATTGGCGGGGGAAGCTTGATGTACCTTAAATACTGTGAACTCTAATGATGCAGAAAATACTTTCCGACTTGAATTTTCTGAAGTATAAACTATTTATGTAAATTCCTTAGTTTTGCATATTTCTTAGGACATGCATCTTTAAGCTTTATCACTGCCAGTATGTACAGAGAGAGAATAAAGATATAAGTTCTTGAATATAAAAAAATAAGAAAGCGGACCGGCACAGATTCTTCACGTCCGGACACCCCACCTTGCTCTCAGCCGTGTTCTAAATCTTTTAACTAGCTTGTCACAGTGGTTACGATGTCGTCTGTCAGCCATCCCTGACATGGGGTTATGATCTCGTCTCTCAGCCATCCCTGACAGCTGCCACATCACGGACTGCCTCTCCTGTGAGGCAGGCAGGGAGCCCACGCCAAATGCTGTTTCGCCCGCTTCCAGCCGTGTGGCCTGTGCCGCCCTTCCTGGTTTATAGGCAAACTGCTGCTTTTTCCAATTAAGCCTTCCTCTATCTACCATAACTGTAACAGTTAATTTGCTTAAAATCACAAAGATAGCAAACAAAACAAAAACGCTAGGTACAGACAATGGATTGGTGCTTACCAGAGAGGGGAGGGTGAAATGGGTAAAGGGGGGTCAAATACGTGATGACGCTGGAAACTGGACTTCGGGTGGCGAGCACAGTGTGCTGTGTACTGGTATCAGGTTGCAATGTCGTAACCCTGAAACCTACGTGATGTCGTTACCCAGTGTTACCTCAATCTAAAAGGAAAAAGGGACATATTTGAAAGTCCCCATTAGAAAGGTAGCTAGCTATCTGTGATGCTTCATTTTGTGTGTCAACTCGGTTGGCCATGGTGCTGGATATGTGCTCAAACATTACTCTGGATGTTTCTATGAGGGCATTTGGCCGAAATTTAGATTGAAGTGGGTAGACTTCTGTAGAGCAGGCCGCCCTCCGTGGTGTGGATGGGCCTCAGCCATTCGGTCGACGGCCTCCCCTGAGCAAGACGGATTCTGCAGCAGACGCCTTGTGACCTCATCTGCAGCATCGAAGACCAGAAGCAAAAAGAGGTCTGCCCCGTCTTAAACGACCGAGTAACTGTATATGCACCTTGGTATTCCAGCTAATTGATGTTTCATTAGATGAGCCACAGTACAAAGATTAAAAAAGGAACCTTAAGGAAAAATTATTTCAATGTTTTATTTATATTTGTTTCTTTAAAGCCAGCAGCAAACGTGGACCCCGACACCTTGACAGAAATGGTGAAACCCAGCATCGATTACCTGCGCCACAAAAGGTTCCGGTCTGGGAATTACCCGTCGTCACTGAGCAACGAAACAGACCGCCTGGTGCACTGGTGTCACGGGGCCCCGGGCGTCATCCACATGCTGATGCAGGCCTACCAGGTCAGTGCGCGGCGTCGCGGGCCACGTTCCCGGGCCCCGTCTCCACCACCAGCTCTTCAGCTGGGTTTGGGTGAGCACTGGGGTTTTTTTAAGCTAAGTGTTAGGGTTACTTTTGGAAAACTGTGCGCTAGGAGAAGGATGAGGGATGGAGGGGGACAGACGGCCACATGAAGACGGTCAGTGCTGCAGTGTGGCTGGTGTTCTCACAGCCCGGCGCCACCCCACGACTCCTGATGTCCTGCGGTTTTCCAACCAGAGCAGGGAGTACCTCGCTCACTCGACACTGAAGCATCGTTTCAACACCGCCTCGTTCTTTGTCGCCCAGGTGTTTAAGGAGGAGAAGTACTTGAAAGATGCCATGGAGTGCAGCGACGTGATTTGGCAGCGAGGTCTGCTGCGGAAGGGCTACGGGGTCTGCCACGGGACGGCCGGGAACGGCTACTCCTTCCTGTCCCTCTACCGCCTCACCCAGGATAAAAAGTACCTGTACCGGGCCTGCAAGGTAAGGACAGCTGTGTCCCAACCACTCCTGAGCCCTCCGGGACACGAACACTGCTCCTCCCGTTAACCTTGCTCCCGGCTCTGCCCCCTCTGCCCACCTCGTTGCTCTGGCACAGCCTCGGCCTGGCCGCTCTGGCATCGCAGCGTGAGTGAGGCCCACA